TAATGACAGGCGCACGGTCGGACCAGAAGTATCACGGAGTAGTCTCGAGGGACGTGAAGGAGAATTGCGGGAGACGGAGAATCCGTGAGGGAAGAGGTGGTGTGTTGGGCAGAGGAGACGAGATCGATACGTTTATGGAGAGATTCGAAGTCGAGGAATAAGGCCCGGGAATATAATTATCTGGCGAGTCAAGAGGCTCGAAGGCCGCGAAAAAGAGGAAGATAAAGGGAAACGATGGGATGCACGAGAACGAGAAGAGGGGTGAAATGGTCGGAGGTTTATTCTTCGGTACGGCTGGAATCCGAAATGTTCGGAGGGCGCGTTATCTTCTTGCGTCGTTCCTCGACAGCACCATTCGCGGATTCCACGATATCGCGACGTGAGTGTATTATCCTATACGTACACATGTGTGTGTATGCACAGGTGTAAACGAAAGAGCCTTCGCACGCGCGCGAGACGGTACCGTCTTTGCATCTCCTATGAATGAGACGTGAAAAAAAGGCATTGATGAGTAGAAAGAATTGAAGAAAAACAATTGTGTCGATATTGTTTCTTACACTGCGATATGCTGCAAGCATTCTCGTCGTGTAGTATTTAATAATAATTCGTTAGTTTTAATAAATACTTCGATTTACATTAATTCAGATGTAACGAATGTTGAGGCGAACAGATCTCATAATGGCAAGTCGTGGATTGATTTGAAAATTAGTTGATTACTTCATCTATGTGTACGAATGTCTCCTACGAATAATTTACTTTGACTTGTTGACTGGAGAATGCAATTAAATTTTTTCATTCTGACTATAAGTTTTCGAACAGAACATTTTTATTTTATAATGCAACGACATATTTACGCCTTTCAACATAGAATCATGACTACTTTTTCACTGTATTAATTAGAGAACGTTATAAGTTAAGTCACAGCCACATTGACGTATTTATTTTATCGTCTTTTATTAAATGGGTGCTTTTTATCATACTATATATTCTAAGTCCTTGTTTTTGCTCATAAATTGGCCAGATGATTATATTCCCGGGCCTTATTTCTCGACTTCGAAACTCTCCATATCGAGCTCGCCTTCTTTGTCCAGTGCCATCTCTTTTCTCACAGATTCTCCGTCTCCTGCAATTCTGCTTCACGTCCGTGACACTTTTGTTCCGACCGTACATAAATAATACCTATTGTTTAGTAATTATTTTTGTTCAAAGAAAGTAGTATTGGTAATAAATTAAAATTCACTTCCACTCCTTTCCCTAGTTTACAACTCCAATAATTATTCTTCACAGGAACAATTTTTACGACGCGGTATATTTAAGAAAACTTCAGGAATCGAACGGTGCGAATTTCAATAATTACAATTGTCTTTTTGGGGAATGATAAAAAGTACCGGGGCTTGTACCCTGTTTCGCGTCGGGTACCCATGACCAGAGATTAGAGCTCCGGCTCCGCTTCAGATTTTCGTCCCTTTCTACAACGAGAAAAGAGCGGGATATTAAAAAGTGGAGACGTCAATTGAGAATTCGGTCCTCTGTACTTGTCGATATCCGTGTCACGATGCGATATTTACGTTACTTTAAACTTCTAATATCATCACGATTAACAAATGCAGGTGTTTCAATAAAGTATTATATTCTTATTAAACCTGAGGATGTAAATTCGCAATTTTTACACGCATATATCGTGTAATTGGAAAAATACAGTCTAGAATTCGATCAATTCCGCGTACAATCGAGAGTCACAGAAAAGGTGAAAGGGAAAAGAGAACAAGGGAAAGAGAAGAGGGAGGAAGAAGAAAGAGAAAGAGAGTGCTGGATCCCGTAGCGGTAACGAGTCGAGAACATCGGCGGTGCCACTTCAAAGCGAGAATCCCGCGCAATCAGGCCTCCTCCCAGTCCTCCCGAGGCACGTTTGAAAAACCGAGCGTGAGGGCACCATCGCGTCGTCCCCGCGCCTCTCGCGTGCCCTCTCGCCACTTCGCGCAGCTTCGCGATCTCTACAGTGACCGGAGCTACGATAACGGAGATCGTTCCGCAATCGAAACAGCAACCTGGTCGACATCGATGCGGCCGGCACTACTGTGCTCTCTTATTCTCTCTTTTCTTATCGTTCCCGTTTGCAACTAAGAGCTGTTGCCGGTTTTTTTTTCACTGCACGTTTACAATGTAGAGTCGCAACAATGGTGCACCAAAAATTTACTGAATAATAAAAATCTTAATAAGGAAAATTTGCGCGTCGTTTTCGTGCCACTAAAGCATTGAGCTGAATGCTGATAGAAAACGAAAGTAAATATTGTTAATGAAATATATTTGCTGTTAGTCAAGTCTTGAGTGCTTTTTTCCGTAAGGGAAACACCACGTTACAAATCCTTTTCTTTCGTCGACAAAATTAATATTTACCTAAAATACATTCTTTCGTAATATTGAGAATACGAGATACACAATCTACCCAAGCTCGCGGAGCGCTACGGTATCGTTAGAAAAGACGTAGAAATGAATTAATTAGTCAGATCATACAGCCCGCACGCGCCACGGTACATTAATAAATTACATTCCGTTCTCCCCGTTTCTCCTTCGCATTTGCACTGCTCTGCGATAACTGTAAATGCGGAACGACGTCATTAGTGGCCACTGCGGTGCGCAGGTCCGCGCTTTTTTAATTGCTTATACTTTCGGTCACGTGTGTCTAGGAAAATATCCGCCTAGACAGTTACAAGTAATTATACCCGTATAAAATATTACTGCTGTATTAAATGCGAAATGAGTGCTTGGATGTAATTTAATGCATTTCTCTCTGTCTACCGCCAACGTAATAAATCCCCGCTTTAATACTCTTTCACTCTATCTAAGCTCTGCAATCGGTACTCTTCGACTTTAACGTAATCCTCGAAGGACTGCATCGTGAAATCGTACTTCCTGTTACTTTATGAATCGATACTTTTTTTGACGACAGCGAAAATTAAATTTTATGAGATGCTAGATTCCATTTGATCGCTCGATAATAATAATCGACGCTATCGAATGATGCGTTTTCTCATAGACTGTTTAATGAGCGTAGCTAACGAATTAAAAAGGTTAATAAGCTAGTAAATTAACCTTTCCCAAGTCCCGATTGTTACCACCCATAAGAATAGCCAATAGAAAGACATACCATTTATTAAGTCACACCAAAAGAATAACAAAAATTAAATTAAAAATCAATAACTTATTACCTACTTACACGCGACTCACTTGGACAAAGTAATTGCAATTATAGGCGTAGTTTACTGTTTTACACCAGTTGTTTGATACGCGTATCGAACTATCGGTGTGAACTAGACCATAGGCTTAAACAAATATTAGAATTCTAATTCAAAGGCAAATGATTGTAATGTTTCTATTGTACTGTCCGCGCTTCAGTTAAATTTTGTGCCACGAGCAATTTTGTTCTTTTATTTGCTTGGCCGGGGAACTGAACGCAAACAGAAGCAGGGGAGAAAAGCTGGAAGAAAGCATCTATTGGTGTCAAAGAGCAATAATTACTTCGGACAGGACGATCCGTACACGAGCGCGATAACGTCGCACATCAGAGGACGATCTTAGCCATCTCTGTTACATCGCTTACACGAAGCACAGAGCACAGATTACTCACGCCGATATGAATAGTTACTCGCGGTAATTGGTCGAGGCCTCGCTGCTCCGTCGAGATTTTCACCTCGCGCCTCGTCCATCGAGCCGGGTTTTGTTAAACACGCTTTTGATTGCTTCATACGCGCGCTATCTACGTACCGGACCTTCTTTCGCGAAACGGTCGCCCATAAAATGCAAATGCTCAAGCTGGTTAACAGTCGGGCCTACGAGCAAGTGTCGCCTGTCACTTTTACGTTTCGCGCGAACAAATTAATTATGTCGTCGCAGACGTCGTTGAGGATTATAGCGTAAATTATTGATTCCCAATTTTATCCCGTTCGTATAAATCCAGATGCCTAAGTCAAACGTAGTTAGCAAGCCACGGGAAAACAAATTGTAATGTTTGACGCGGGATAAAGTGGAATGGGTTTCGTGGCGTGTGCAAATTAATTTATTAATAAATCCTTACCGATAAGTTCACTACTGATACTTCGAACAGAACAAATTTAAAAGTCAAGATGACAACAAAAATTATTATTTCTAGGAAGTCAAGATGACATGTATCATTTGACACTATTAATAAAATGTTATATCACAAAACGCGCTATATTACGATGTAGTTTGATTATATTGTTATTTTATTCTAAGTTTGATAATATTTTTACTTGCAAGCTGTCGACTGTGTAAGCATTGTTTCGTGATATAACATAAGATCCAAGATATTGCAATTCTAATATGACTAGTCCTGCGGTGATTGTGACAAAAGTGCTATAATTATAATCGTTGCAATGTGTAATTATCACTACTTAATGATGCTACATGTTATCAACGTTATATAAGTAGTGTTAAGTAGTATAATCTATTTCGATAGATCGAATATCTCCAATTGCATCGTAATTGATTATATATCACATCGTAATATATCTGAGATTTGAAAACAAATTGAAGAATATTCAACTTTATGAAAGAAACGACACTTAATCATCTCTAGATACGATCATCTAGAACTTGTTAAAGGATTTGTTAAAGTTATAAAAATAGTTAAACGTACGATATATAACACATGAGCATTTTTGGAGGACGTTATCAAGTAGGAATTACATAAGAGATGTTTATCAATAGGCGAAAACAATGAACAACGATGAAGAAATGCAGCGACAAGATCCGGCGATTCAGTTTTATCGTAAAAAATATGCAAATTGTCGCAGAACGCAGAAGAAGACGCGTTATAATTGCACTATCGTTTAACTTGGCGAGTTTTGCGTGTCAAACTCTGTCGCCAATTCCGCAAACAAAAGGCGTGATAACAATCGGAAGTCGCATTATGTCATAGCGCGGTTTTTTCCACGACTGGACATGTGAATATGTTGTGGATTACGGGATCTATATAAAAGCGAAGAACGGATCTGCGATCCGACCAGTGTACGTTTGTGTATCAAAGCGAATCATCATGATTAAGCTATTCCTCATTACGTTGCTTTGCGTGGCGGTGGTAAGACGTTGATAGTTAATTTATACTCTCAGAAAAGAATAATGTGTAAATTACGCGCATTTGTTTCGTACATTAATATGTACAATAATATCCATAAATTAAAAATCGCATTTTACACAATAAGATAAGTATGTAAAGTCTAGTATATAAAGTCGCATTATTAACGAGATATTGAAGCTTTCACAAGATACCTATACATACGAAATTAATCGAATATTTGAAAAATTTGTTATATATTTTTTTAACGAAATGAAAAGAAAATGAAAAAGTGGATATAAGAACGAATTTCCTTAACTTTTGTATAAAAGATAAGTGTAAGTAATATATATTTTTTTAAACAATGTTTCGCAGTAATTCTCGTTCAGAAGAGCGTTTGAAACACTTGATTAATCTTATAAAATAATACAGATTATTTTAAGTCGTGCAATTATTAATATTTTGATTTTGTTCAACATAATTTTAATATGCTGATATTCATAATGAAACATTCAACTTCCTTTTCAGCTCGCCGATTCACCGGCCGATAAATTTAATCAAGTGAGTATAATTAAATGCTCTGTAATTTTTCGGAACCGCCACAAAAATTCGGCAATTTTAATTCAAATTTGCAATATTGGTATAAACAATTTTTTCATGTGTATGGATATATTTCCGGATAATTCTTGCAATAAGATAATTGTTACTTAAAGATAAAGCAGGCAGGAAGAAACATGAGCGATATGGCTGAGCAAGTTATGACGGGTCATGGTAGTCGTTTAGTGCAACGTGATGCACCACAACAACAACCGCCGAGGGGACCTCCACCTCGGGGAGGACCACCACAGAATTAAACAATAAGTGCAATAAACCATGGTAGATATTTCTCTAAATTCACAAGTGTGAGCCTTTGAACTCATTATTAACATTCAATTTCATTCTATAGAATAACTAAAAAATAATCAAGCTGTCAAAATGGAAAATCTAAATTAATAAAGACATGAGAGTACAAACATGTTTAATTAACATGTTTAATTAATTTCATAATACAAATAACGTATTACAATAAACGTTTATTGCACACGAATGTGTCTCTACTCTCGTGTTCTTACAATTTCGATTTTTTATAGAATATATTTTCATTTTGTCGATAGTAATCGTAACGTTGATCGAAACACGATTGGCACGTAACGCGAATTATTTTGTGTACAATTAACGATATTGGTATTTTATTTTTAACATTAAGTTTTCCACGACTAAGAGTCCTATTATGTAAACGTTAACGATATCATTACGCGCTTTGCGTAGCTTTTCCGTACAAAGCAACGTAATGATGTCGTTAATGTTTACAGAATAGGCCCATTCGTTTAAAAAGAACTTAAAGAGTGACACCAACCTTTAATATATGCACACGTCGTGATAGAATTCTAATCAAAAGCACGTGTACATACAAATAGAACAATAGATTGACACATCAGTGGTTCAATTCTGTGTCTTACACTATTGTGAAAATGCTAAAAGTGAGTAGCTTTGTCTCTTTTTAACTGTCCCCTTAGAAAGAGACAGAGCCGCTCACTTTTAGCATTTTCACTATATTGTAAAATCGACCCTCAGATGCCTACATATGTTAGAACAAAATTAATTAATTGATAAAAAATTAATTACTAGTCAATCAGTTAAAATTTTGATCTAAATTTGTATTAGATTCTATCATCGACTTCCATCATGATTGAAGATTTATAGATTATTCAAAATAACCTTAAAACTTAAGAGAAAATTTGTCATTAATCTAAAAACTGGCAAAGTAGTTGAATAACTGGTTTGTAATTTTTTATCAAAACTTTTCTAAGATTTTTCGTGGCTTTATTACAATATGTGATCGATAAATTGATCAACGTACTTTCCCTGTCATTTTTAAAATGCATATATGTATAGTACATTTAAATAATAGAGATAGATATATGTTACTCAGTAACTTTATTATTAAAAAACAACACGCGCGTCTTGGATTAATCTTGGATTAATTTTGTATATTAATTATTTTGCAGGTCTCTTGTGGATATTGAAATATATCGTTGTAAAAGGTGAAAATAATTGTAGATTTCGCTCTATCACATATTTTACTAAATAATTTGCACGGCCGCGAAGAACCCCAATGGTTTCACGATAATAAAGGACACACTGCAACAAGTTGTCGATTATTGTTTAAACCGGTCCCATCCACACTTATTTCCTAAACCACTACGATTCGTAAAAGTCTTTACTTATTTTTCGTACAAGATATTTTCGTTATTAAATCCTTTTCCCTCCTAGTTCCCCTAATAGGAATAAGTTCTAAATAAATCAAATATCTCGCAATATTTTAACGTATAGTTTCGAATAAACAAACTTTCTGAATATCTTGTATATTTTAGTGTCGATAATACACTCTCGAATACTGCAAGAGAAGCTCGTGTACAAGCTTGAAACAAATTCTCGCTGAAACTGCGTGCAACGCTTTATCTCAATTACGTAATCTTGCCGACGCGTGCGATTTCAATTCCAAATTATCGATGTATCCCGATAAAAAATTCTTCATGTATATACATGTGTATATAAAATTATATAAAGTTATATATCATATATGTCCACACATGTTTTTATACATTATGTATTTCTACACAAGTCTTTATACTTCGATATAATTCTATAACTTTATACGAAAAAATTAGAGTCCCAATTATCCGAGTGGATCAGGACCACCTTTGATAATTGAAAACTCGGATAAACCGGAGAAGAAAAATAAAATACGTACAAATATTATTTACGGTGAAAACAATATATTTGTTACGCGCGGCAAGAGAAGAACAGCGAGTGTCAATAACAAAATTGCCCCGAAATGCGCCACTAACTTCCAGCTCTGATTTAAAAAAGCAATAAATCCATTTTTATATAACTTGTTGCGTAAAGATGTTATTAAAACGTTCACAATGTTATTAAAATTGGTAATTAAAAATTTTTGGGAATTAAAAATTTTACTTTTGACGGTGAAAAAGAAGTTAAATGTAAAAAGAAATTACCTCGAGCGGACCGGAACTCGGATGAACGCGACTCGGGTGATCGAAGAGCAACACTTCCTTTCGAGAAGTCGTGATCGAATAAGAACTGATAATTTCTTTGATAGTATCTTGAATCTTCGTCTCATTGGAGCAGCGCAAAACTCTCCACGATCACCACGAGATAAAGAAGAAATTCACTATAATGGGATAGTTCGTTCCAAAGATCATTTAGCGGGAAGCCACTGTGGTGGCGGTTAGTATCAAAAAGACTTGTTATTAAATTCTCACTTGAAAGTATTTGATCCGCAATTAATCAAAGAGTATAATCAGGAACTTAACGTGAGATCTTCTGTGTACTTGACGGCCTGCTTATGCGAACGTTAATTAAATAAGACGACGAGATGTGCGTAAGAGAGCTCGGCGCGCGACACGTTCGCGATTAAAAGCCCGTTTATTCAGCGATAAATACGCGATTGGTATCGCGCGACGATTCACGCGAGACTCGCGCGTTCGGACAAATCGAATGGCACTTGGCACGCGATTATCCCTAATCGCCGATCCGTCCAAGTTCTTTCATTCGCGTCGCCCGGGAGAGACGGAATGAAAGGAGGCGAGATTCGACTTGCGGATAATCGATGAAGCGGCATGAGTGACGCATCCGCTGATGGCTTCTCGATCGGGCATCACGAGAAGCGTCGCGCCGATAAATAACGGCGATATACGACAATGACAACGACGGCGACGATGACGATGACGATGTCGATGACGATGACGAGGGATAGTCGACGAACAGCGTCGACTATGAATATTATCTTCGGCCGTACGAGAATCTCCATTTACCCACCCCGCCTCCCCCCCCTTCACTCCCCTCGCGCGTCTCTCTTCACGATTCCTCTCTTTTTTACCTCGTTACGGGCGATATAAAATCGGCGAGGTCGACGCCGAGGTCGGGTTCTATGGTTGCCGATAGGAGGTCATCTAACGCCACTGATTCACTACTACCGCGCGGAATACACGCGGACGTCGCTTCTGGGTGGTAATTAGCTCCAATCCTAGTAACGGCGTCGTATATCTCGCGGTAATTTTTACACGTGACTTAAAGCGGGACGCGCCGGCGGTCCCTCTGTTCGCCAGTTTTACGTTTATCCAGATTTTATGTTCCTCTCTTCCTCTTTCTCTCATCCCCCTGACTATTGTCCCCCGGTGCCTCGGCCGATGACGCGTGTCCCCTTCGTGAGCGTGGTCTTTGATTTAAACGGGGGGTTTTACGCACACACGTGCGTGTTACCTTTCTCGTCCCTTTTCGTTTCTTCCTCCGTTTCTCCGAGAAAATGCGTGCGCGTAAAATGGCGGGGACATATAGTTTACTCTGCGATAAGTACGCATAAATTTAACGCTCATATCCACATCTTTATTTAAATTGGTCAAACTACAAACTATAATTTGTGCAAAAACTTATGTGAACTTATCAAGTTTTATGATCGGTCGAACTTATTGTTTTCCATAGTCTGACTTATCTAGATTTTAAAATAGACTTTTTTATATCTCGGTACCGTTTTAAAAGAGTTTTCGTGGATGACTCGATAATAATTTCACAAAGACTCCGCGAGACTTCCAGATGTCAAACAAAAAATTTATATTCCAGCGAATGGATATCGGTCGTGTGGGAACATCGGAAAGATTCTTACCGGATCTTCGCGCGTAAGAGATTGAGAGGAAAAGGAGGAACTTCTTCGACGAGATGTGGGAGGAGTCGCGAGAGGACGGAAAGGAAGCTTATCGATGAAAAAGAAAGGGAAGGTAAAAAAAGGGGAGAGTCGATCCATATGTTGCTCAAGTAACAGGTGCCTAATTATTATTTGTCAATCACCGAATATTAAGACTTCAATCCCTTCCCTTCGATCGTTTCACAGACCGATCCGGTCGTTATTAAGCGATAGATAAAGCGCACATCCTATCGGATCTATCGATCCTTCCGCTTTTTTGTCTGCGTTTTTTGGTAAGGGAGGTTGAATAATCGATCCCACTACAACCGATTAGTTAAATGTGATCAGATTTCATGTTTCTATCAATATTATTGCTAATATTAAAATGGTAAAAGAAAATTACAGAATTATTTAACTAAAACCAACGCAATAATTTCAACCAATAAAATTATTATATTCACGTGAAACTTGTCGTTTTTCATGCTTCCACTCGACGGGACAAGTTACATGATCGCTACCCAGGTTTACGTTCCAAAACATTTTCTCCGAGGAAAATTTTACTCGAGAAATAGGTCGGAAACGTTCAAAATGATTTCGGAATGGCCGTCGAGTAAAAAAATTTCTCGGAGAAGATTTGGGAACGTAAATGCGCGTCCTAAACTCATTAAAAAAGGTATTGCAACAATTCTATCCATTACTGTACATAAATTACTAAAAAAACATGACTCTTGGGTATTTATTTCATTTGACTCTTGCGTAGCTAAGATTCGCGTAACTTTAAAATCTTTCTCTCGAGAAATGCATTTTAATATTACTTAGATATATAACCTTCCGCTGAGTCTTAATCGTTTGACAATCGCGGCCTAGGCGAGATTGTTTAATTTTCATCGTAACGGCGACTCAATTCGTGCACGATCACGACGCGCGATTGGCGGCATTGCGCGTCCGCGTGCTCGTGATTGGAATGACTTGGCTGGAAAGTGTCTTTCAGCGTTTCGTTTCCATCTCTTCTTTCTTCCTTTTCCTGCGGAAGAAAGCCATCGCGCGCGATGCCATTCGGTAGCCTCGCCGGCGCATTGTGAGCGTGTCGGAGGAATACCGTCGGTGAGTTCGGTCGTATAATGAACTTCCTACTTCCACAAATGACAATGGAAACGGGCAGCCTTAGGTGCTCCAGTCCTACCCCCCCCCCCCCCTCTTCGTCACGAAATTGGTGTGACTGTCGGCCGAGCCCGATGATTCCAATACGCTACCGTGTGCATTGTGCGTCTTTCCCGAATTCTATCTCGATAAATTTCCTGTGGCGAAATTGGGAAACCATATAGAAGACCACCTAGAGGAATGAATTGAGGAGGTCGGAAGATAATTATTTTCGAGAAGATAATGCGGCAGAACAGTGGGCGAATCATTACATCACCATTACGTGACTATAGCACGACAGTTGATTGATAGTTGGGAATTTTGGCGTTTCTACGATTTATAGCGGCGAACGTCCATGTAGGATTGACTTTACACAAATCCCTGCCTCTCTCTGTTTCATAAATATACAGGGTGAGTCTTTTTAATCTCAACGGGCCAATATTTCGAAAATATGCAATTTCACAAAAAAAAAACTTTTAAAATAAAAGCTGTACGGTCCAGGCAATTTTGCGTACGTTGCAGTACAAACAAATTTTCAATAATTGGAGCATTAATGCAACAGCGTATTCCTGACACCAAATTAAGTAAAAAGGTCCTGGACTATTGTACTTTTCCCTCTGACAAACAGTTATCGAGATATCATAAGCTAAATATTGAAAAAGTTGTCAATTTTCTCTTGATTATCTCAAAAAGTATTAAGCAAATCGAAAAATGTTTCAGACAAAAGTTGTTCATATTAATTAGTAGAATGAGATAGTATAATAAGCAATAGGGGGTTCCGTTAAAAAAATTGAAGGTAACTTTCACGTGATCTTCAAGCAACAATTCAAGGTCAAATTGATGACACCACCTTATGTCCTCCTCGAGACCGTACAACTTTTGTCTTAAAAGTTTTTTTGTGAAATTGCATATTTTCGAAATATTTGCCTGTTAAGATTAAAAAGACTCACCCTGCACATAGTTTCTAAAAATAAAACTTAATACTATAAAACTATGCGAGAGTTGAAGAAAAATAATTAATAATGCTGAAGGTGATTCAAACCGGAGCCGAAACGTTCGTTTTGTAATGCGTTAACTGTACTATAAAATAAAATTAAAAACGTGCCAATGATATTTTTTACACACGAACAACCGCGTTTGTACTTTCACGCCCTTATTAATTTCGGGCATGCTCGAATGTCGATCTCGTCGGATCGATCTTCATCGCGCTGTTCGTCATTCCGTGGCGTATCGAATCGAACGACTGCTTTCTTTGAGGCAGCGATAGAGATATGGCTCTCGGGGAAAGTGCGACGTTATTGAATCG